TGAAGGTATTTAAATGAAATGTGATACATAGGTGCTTGAAATAAAAGCAAATGTAACTCTAGTTTTAAAATTTGGTTTTTGGTTTTGTTTATGGAAGCATTTTAATGAAATTGTATACATATGCACTTGGAAGAAAAGCAAATCTAACACCAGGTTCAAAATTTCGTTTTGCTCATGCTATATCCATACCCAGGAGCTCGTTCGCTGTATTTGTTTACACGTTTATTTATTCTTCGGACACACGTGTGATAAACTTTTTGAAAGTTTTTTTCTAAAACAATCATGACCGTTTAAAAAACCAATCAATAAGAAAAATCCCCCAACCGTTCATTGGACAACCACCACAAAATTGTTTAATCTTCTCCAACGGAAACGAAAGGTGAAGGGTTTTGGGGAGGTATACATTTTGAGTTTTGATGCTGTCGTAGAACTTTAGCGATTGTTTAAATTAAAAACTAAATGAAGAAAAAATGATAAAATACGGCACTGTATAATTTTTTATTAAACGAGTACACCGGCTTGATTTCAATACGTGGTGCAAGTGAAATGTTTTACTTATGTTATTATTTATTATTATTATTATATTATTAATTATGTTATGTGTTAGCACAATCCAAAACGATAACCACGTTTAGGTACATATTGATATACCTTTGCATTCTATACATACTATTCCAGGGGGGAGGGAGGGCTATAGCACCGGGACCCAGGCATTTTAAGGTCTACAAACACAACACATATATTTATGAGATGGGTTTCAGTTATTGTTTTTAGCGCATTTGATTCTCAAAAAGGAGCTTATAGGTAAGCTGTTCTGGTGGCTTTAAGCTTTTTATGAATCGATGAAGGTCTCGGCAACGGAATAACGTACAACTTTCGGGTTTTCGGCATTATATTCGTACTATCGTGTTATTCCTGAATCGCTCAGTCTAATCGCTACCGGTCTGTCAGGCGACACGGAGCGGCCGTTTGCCCATTCGTTGGGCGGCTTTTATCAATGTACCGATATCTAGATAATGGAATAGCGTAGGGGGTTTTCAGCATTAGTTTCGTACTGTCGAGTTATTCCTACATCATTTAGTTTGAAAGCTGAAAGTTGATAATTTATGAATTTCCTTTAAATGTCTCCTTTTATAAATCGATCGAGTTATCGACAACGAAATACCATACAGTCTTGGGGTTTTCAGCATTAGGTTCGTATTATGGAGGTATTCCTGCATTAGCAGACACACAGCGCCTTTTATGAATAGATCGTGAAAATCTTCATTATGAAATCCCACCCGTGTGTCTCGGAATGTTAACAGAACAAGTAAAAAGAGCACAGATTGTATTCATTCATTTCAGCAACCTATAACGTGCCTGGCATTTAGATGAATTCGTGGATAAACAAAATCTTTCCGCACAAGCAACTTCAAAAGCGTTACTAACGCAAGAAAAACATTAAAACACAAGATATACGAGTACAACAACATGCACCAAAATATTGCTATGATATCAGTTTGCGTAATTATTTTATGTTTATTAGAAAGACTGATTAGGCGTGTTTTTTTATTTAAAGATTTATTAGGCAATTAATAGATGAAAATGCTAAATTATTGCTTTTACTTAAAGTGATAGAATATTGTAAAATGACTAAAGTGTAGGTAAGTGTTTTTTGTATAAAATTCGAGACATAGAGTTTCAAATTATCACAACTTTATATTCAGAGTTTTTAAAATTAAGTTACAGTCTTTTTAATTGTCGTTTGTGCTGTTTGATTACCATTTGGTTAGATTTAATTTTGCTAGTATTGGGGAAAGATAGATTTTAAGGTGTCGCGTGTGTTTATGAACGCAATAAATTTAGAGTCATGTGTAATTTGGGCAAAAGTCAAGTGTGTGATTTAAAAATTGTTTGTGAAAATAAATGAAATTAAATTTTGTTTGTAAATCTAGTTTGTAGCCGTTTTCAGTGAAGAGTAGTGGGGAGACAGTCTGGTGCTTTATACAGCAAGACATACCTATACATGTTTGTGGGGGGCTGCAATCCCTGGCACAGTGTTAAAGTTATACATATTATTTTTGATTAAAAGTTACCTTTCGATATACTAATCAACTACTTTTTGGATGTTTGTCGAAACATTTGTATTCCCGAGTTTTACAGGACACACATGTTCGTTGTTCAAGTACAAGTCATGTGTTTGGGGTGTCCAAAATAAGCATGTCTATCATGGGGATCTCGAAAACCATATAAGATACGAAGATAGTCAAATTAAGGAAGAGTTGTGTAATTAAAGAGTAGTTTATTATATGCCGCAAAAAAAAACCAGAAGGTTCCGATTACTTCAGAAGATATTCTAGAAAAAACGAAATTTGCCGATTTTGTTTCCATTTTTTTCTGATCTTATTTGAACAACAGAACAAAAAAAATAAAAACACATTCTCATTGCCACTATTTGAGCTCTACAAGACAGCGGTGAGAGACTTTCAATAGAACGGTTTATTTCGAGGAAATCATCAACAACTCTATTTCTTATACAGAGTGGTTAATGGAGATGGAGTTCTGGTGTGAAAAATACGGTTTAAACATGGTGGCGCACCCGCACACGTCCGAGAATACCTATCGGAAAATTTCCTGGAACAATGGAAAATATGTCCGATAGTTGAGAATTACTTTAAACGTAGTACTGTTTCATTCCGTAGGATCCCCAACAACTGTATCAAAGACAAAATTGCTCAACGGCCATTTTGTTCTATACTACATAGCTATGTAATACTCCTCAAATCTTGTTTTTTAACCAGGACGTAGCAATGTTGGACTGTTTCTACCTACTCAAAATCGTTTTTGTTCAATATCTCGGAAACGATTGCTAGAGTTAAACGCACAAAGGGCAATCAAAGAGTATGATATTACCCAAAAAGTGATTGAAATGCGTTTTTCGTTTATTTCCTTCTAAGGCTTGATATCTCTGTACCAAAAAATTCAAGCGACTCCATTTTCTTCATGGTAGACTGTGCTCAACCATTTGCTCTCCTAGTGCATGTAAAAATCTAGTAAACCTCACTTTTATTTTAGAATAACGTGACTGTGGGGCTCCATTAATCATTTTCTTACTGAATGAGTGAGAATTGGACAAATGAACATGCCAAATTTGGCGATAATCGGAAATATTCATTCTTGGCATGAGGATAAATCCAAGTCTATAAATTTCCCCTTCTTCATCATCTTCCAGAAAACGAATTTGTTTTCATTACACTCCGATTAAAGTCAAAATAAAAAATTAAGATCTTAGAACTTTTCAAAAGGGTTGAAGCGATCGTAAATAGTAAAATTGTATAAATCTATTATTATCTTTTTAATTGGTAGCTATCCATCTTATAAAGGCTCAAAACAGGGTGATATTGACTAAGTGGATTGATAAAGACACTAAACCTTCCCCATACTTCTTTTAATACCTGAAATAATTAAAAGAAGTATGGGGAAGGTTTAGTGTCTTTATCAATCCACTTAGTTATTATCTTTTTGCCAAGGATATTGTGCGATCTGCGGGACAGTGTTGTTCCGGAATGGCCTATAATTTAGAAGAAGAAACAACCAAAAACCCAAGAGGCATACTATGGAAATCAACATACGATGAAATTAGGAATCTTTTCAGACTGCTGTAAGCAGTAGTTTCTAATGTATATGCACATGATAATTATGAGAGAGACATGTACATTTTTTCATTATAATTACCTATACTCGGCTATTAATGTTATTAATTTGCTATGTAAATATTGTATAAATGTATGTGAGATACGACCCCATTTGGTTTTTTCTATTATATATTTATTGCCCGTGTAACCTTGATACATTTATTTACACCTGTAAGTATCAGTTGTCTACATCATCTTCTGGGAATAAAACCACAAGCACGACAAGCAAATTTCACTTTCCGCACATTCCCTTGTTCGCCCACTTAATTGTTCATATTTCGACAAAAGTCGCGCATTAGGTTAATAGGAAGAATTTCCCTTTTTTAATGTAGACATTCACTTTTCACAGATAAAAATTTATCCTTGACTTTTGGGGTCCTTTCCACCTATCCTAATTACGGATTACAAAATATTCACTAACTTACAACAATAGAAATTGTCAAAAAACGAGTCTAATTACCCAGTTTTATTATTCTACAAATTTCTTTTATTTATACACCCGATAACGATCGAAGTGTGTTCACTTTCATTGCTAAATGCCGTTTAAAAGTTCATTACCGATGCTAAACCTGGTTTACCAACTTTTTTTTTCATTTACGGGTGCTAGATAACAAAGGGGTATTAGGTGTAGGAAGTAATTAAATACAGTGTGTAATTGAATATTTGCAGTGTTTAGGTTAAACGAGCAGCGTTAAGGTAAAAGTCGTGTAATAGGAACGGGTTTTCATTTTGTTTATTTTATGAACTGTTGAGCGTAAAGTATATTAATATACCTACTTTAAATATCACTTGCAAGACAAGTTGGATTGTTAATCCTCAGCTGAAAGTGAAAAGGCAAGTCAGGTGGCTACTGAAAAAATTTTGATGCTCGGTTGTGGCCGCCACAATTTTCAAAAGCGCTACTTTCCACTACATTTTTTACTCAGCTTTGCTCGCAATACCAGAAATTAGTAGCGCGTGTAGCAAAATTGTGACATTCAATTGTCGGCGAAAATTTCCAGTTTTACTCAAATGTTCTTTGATGGGTACCCAATTACTTTCTTGACCTTTCCAAAAAACGTACCAAATTCCAGTATGTATTCTATGGCATGACGGACCACCAATGTCGTAAAGTAATGATTAATTGTTGGGACCGTTCAATGGTTATTACTAGATTATCGCATAACGATAATATCCATTAAAACAAGCACTAGAAAGTAGCAATAAAATGCAGAAATGTACGTGTTTTGGTAACGTCCCGGATCTTCCCGATTTCGAAACGTCGCCTACACTTGCGAAATCGAATTGGCCAGCGCACCCCAAAAATATTTTCCAAAATTTACTTACAGGGGGTAATTCGATCGTCGTCGACTTCCATTATCCTTATTAAAAAATAGCAATCACTTCATTAAACACCACCGAAACTATTTAAACACATCGCGCGAAATATTCCAGCGGGAGGCCTTCTTTGGCCCGTTAAGTGTTGACGCGAGTAGTAGTATGTTGTTAACAAATAAAAAGATATATGAAAGTGTGTTCCGAATTAAAACTCGGATTACATCGGTGACTTTCGCGTCGCAAATTTTTTAAAAATCATATTTTGGTCATTACGGGGACACGTTACCATTCGTAAATATTTTTAATTGAACATTATGTAATAAAGAGACATCTTGTTCCAACGCCCACCGTTACGCTTACAGACACGTTGCTTACATCAATTAAAAAGTTTATTAATCTTTAATGAACATTAAATTTCAATGTCCCTATACCTTTTTGTAATTTATTTTCTCTTGACTTTCGAATTCGCGTTCGCCGTTTTTCGTTGAAAAGTTTCAAAATTAAGTGATTATAGTAATCAATGGGTACTTTTTGTACTCGTACGTTTAAATTGCAATTGTGAACGTAAAAACTATATACATAAATTACCGTGTAATAAACATTATTTCGTTTTAAAGATTAATGGCGTTTTAACGGCGGGGTGGAGACGTGTCGCTTTCTTTAACTTTTTCTAATTCTTTTTAGGCCCTTTTGTTGCAACGTACGTAAAATCTCTATCTCCTTTAAGTTTGTGACTTATTCAAGAACAGAAAGGCTCGTGATGATACGACATTTTGGATTTATTTAAATCACATTTTGAGTAGGTGCCAGTGCAGGTAAATAAATATGGCAAAATAATTGAATGATGGGGATCAAAAAAGCATTTTTAAACACTGAACGCGCCCCTTTCCAAGCCCACTGATCACAGTGAATTTATAACGTTACGGGGTCCTAAAGTTTCTTGTAGCGAAAACAAATCAATAAAATGGACACCGGAAAGAGGTTTAATGAAAAAGGAAGGAATATGCACAGGATAGCTAAAACATTTGTTCACAGCTCTCACTCGGCAGTTGTCTTCCCCCAAACTGGAACATTGACGTACTCGCCTTCCAACTTCCAAACAAACACAGAAAAATAATTACCTCCAACTTGAATTTTAAAACTTAATTTAACTTAAACATTTACAAACTATACAGTGAACACTTTTCCCCTTTTTTGGGCACGTTTCAGCCTTAGCTATTCTTGCAAAGAAGCAGCATTTCGTGTCCCCATCTGAAACATCTTTTTCTTCCATTCCTGTAGGATAGGTATTTCACATCATCTGATAAGGTCGCGAGGTGCTCGATGGGCTAGAAAGTTTCTGTCCTACAACGCAAACATGTCTTGGTTCTTCTCCGCAGTCACACCAAACGAGTGCTTTTCTGGTTGCGCTATAACTTTTCGAACTGCTCAAATGTCGGTTTTTCGCTACTCAGTATGCGAGTTTGCGGTAGTTGGTTGCTGTCTACAGTCTGCAGTCTGTTAAAATGCACCACTTTGGATTTACCACTGGGCCTCTTCTTTGTACCCACGTCGTTGATTCTTTTAACAACTTTGTATGAACCCTCCCATTCTTTTTTGGTGTTTGGTGTAAAACCATTTTGTCTGTTCAACCATACCAAATCATCGACATTGTGTCGTCCTTGAAATGGGTGGTCGCTTAGCCGTTTTCAAAAATTTGGTTTTGAATTTGTATTTTGTTCAACATTGGAAAATTTATACATTAACCGCTTCATAGCGAACGTGAACGAAAGTATGTCTAGAAATAAAAGCGATATAACAGTCAGTATGAGTTTATCCAAACCAGCAGTTAGCACGAACCCTTTATTGGTACGCTAAAATTATTTTTCGTTTTAGCTTCAGTAGCGATCGCGTAAAGATATTGGTGCGAAAAAACTAAGACGATGATTTTAAAACTTCAAAGAGATAGCACGAATTATTATTTGTGTGTGAGACTTTTATTTTCGCATAATTGTGCGATAAATATGATTTTGAATATAACGGCATACGGCAGGGAATTTAAAGCCGATTAATTGATGCATTTGCCCGCAACAAAACCTAGTTAATAAATTGGACACAATTAATATCAACACAACGGACATTGGCATTTTATTCCTGTGGGTAAGCACGATCTCCAGTATTACTTTCCAGAATTTGTAGCCGATTTGTTTGGATTCGCAATTCATACAAGTTTTCCTTCTTTTGCATTCATCACAAAGATAACGTTACCGAGGCGCTGCAGAAAGTCTGTGTTCATTTTCAATGGGAAATTAGATCAATTTGTTACCAGAAAAGCATATTACCGACGTCAATAATTGTAAGTTATTTGAAAATTTTTGATTTGTATAAGATAGTGATCGTTTATCTTTAGGAATTCACAGATGCTTCAATTGCATCTCAACAACAGCTCCAGTCGTTGTCCTCAGCTTCCAGTCAGTGGCTGCTAATTGTTCTAACCAAATGCGGGGACCGTTATCGTTTTTATCGTGATTTAGTAAAGAGATAGTGGCTTCTGGGGCCTCAACACAGAAGGTCGATGCTTAGTCATTTTCAACAACTTTTTTTTACTTTTCCTGCTTCTGTTGTTTGCTCCCTTCGGCAAGTCCTCTACCAGCCTTTCGACATCTTTTCTGGAAATGCCCAGTTTTCTTGCAGTTCCAACAACGGAACTGTTCGTTTGTGACCATACCCTTGACAGCCCGAACTTCAGTTGTCAGTTATCAAAAACTGTAGGTACCTTGAACTGCTTCTATTAGAAATCAAGAGGATAACGTGTCAGTCAATTTTTAGCTGCTACTAAACAAATATGTTTTCGGGATGTAATCATGAAGTTTCATGCGCATAGGGTAACCGAACATTTTTTTATTGGAGCATAGATAGTGTAAATGTCTTCGTTTTTAGGTGAGCGTGTGGGAAAATGCCCACCTTCCACTTCCCTACCTTCCTGGCCCATATAGACTGTAGCTCAAAGGTGGAGTGTTCCTCTGCCAATGACGCTGAGCATTATGAGAAAAGTAGCAACACTTGGCGCCCTTTTCAGCCTAAATATGAAAAATCGCGATTTTCCACTTCCGATCACAATTTTGACCATTCTATTGTGTTCCTTGACCCTAAAAACCTGCACCAACATATAAAAAGCTTGATTGTAAATTTAATGTATTCTGGAAAAAGTTAGAAAAATTCAAACATTTGGCGCCATGTCATCAGAACTATGAGAAAAAATGTTTCTACCATATTATCCCATCTCATTTTTCTCCATTCCATTGTGTTCGTTGATCCCAAAAACATGGGTCCAGCTGCAAACCCTTGAACTGTAAAAATTGGACATTTTAGATGGAGAATACGACAGAACCACCATATTGGACGCCATCTTGAATATTTCCTTTCCGGTCTATTTTCAGACTTGGCAACAGGCAGAATCGTTTTCAGCAAAGGAAAACCACTTGTAACTCATTGACACCTCCACGAGATCTAATACCTAAATGACCTAAGTTGATAAAATTCAGAACTGCCTCTGAGAAAATGTTCTTGGTCGCCTTAAAAATGTAGGTACTGCGTGCATATCCTTTACTTGTTCAAATACGTTTTCAGAAATAATGAGAAAAATAGCTCTTTTCTGGTTTTATGGTAAATCACGCCGTGGCCTTTACTATAGTTCGAAAACAACTTCCTTCTTCAAGATTATTGCGCTGCTATGATCACTGTTAATCTAGAGACACAGAACGTTCCTTCAATTACATGTAGTGTTAAGATGTTAACATATCCCAAGCGCTTCTCAAAGAAGTTGTTTTACAGGATACTTGAAAGCTTAGACAATTTCTCAAATAAATCCATCTATAAGTAGCTGTTTTGCAGAATTTTAAATGTCTCTTTCAATTGTTGCGAAATTATAACCAATGTCCTATAATGAACCAGTTCAATAAGTCCTCGAGCTTTATTTAGCACTATATGGGAATCTTGTTTTGCACTCAACACGACCTACATAAAACGGGCTTATTACTTAATTACAGCTTCTGCATTCTTATAATGTTAATTGCTGAAATTTTACTTTCCTATCATTTATATAAGTAAACAGTCGAGTCGGTGTTTGAAAGTTGGTAATTGAATTTCATTTTTAGTCATAGTTACTTAATAGACTACACCCAACCATATAATATACAACAATTTTTAAATACTTGCAACTCAATTTTATTTGCATTAATTTGCATTTATGGCTTGTTGCAGAAACGGCAACCAAATAATAACATCATCAAGTGTTGAGATTTATCACGTACGTGAAAGTAAGGCGTTAGGAACCTCTCATTTGAATAGAACATTTTGTGTTTTGCCTCACACCTTGGGTGCAATACTCGACCTCTTTAGTCAGTCGAATGTGTTTAATTTAGACTTTTATGATTAATAATACTTTAAAGTGCAAAATTTATTGTCTATATTAGCGTCTTGGATCAGTTGAGATAATAATTGGCTTGTGAACAAGCGATCGATCTAAAGACCTTGTACAGTAATATTTCACATGAAAATCGTTTCTTTTTAGAAAGTTCCCTCTGAATAATGATTTTAGATTCTCCAGAATAGTAGGTGAACTACATCTATAGCAGGAATATGGGATAGATTCCCATTAGACTTCAACTAAATTTAACTGACAAGTAGTTTCCAAGGGACCATAGTTAATACAATTGTTTCAGGTAGAACTTAGATAAACTTATTAACAATAAAATAGGTTTTCATTTCAGGTAGAGCATGAGCACGTACTTACCTAAGACTTAGAGATCTGCAAGAAAAGTCCGTATCTGAGAGAATCCTAAATTGCCTCCCTTAAAGTGCGTTGATTTGTCGGATACATTTATAATATTATAAACACGTTAGTGATTTTCGTTGGTGAGTAACGAACTATTGTAACATTTATCACTTAGTTGTTCCTCATGTTTCGCAATTAGGTATGTTTGTGTTTATAGTAACTTACTTTTGTCCATTACGAGCGTAGCATCTCTCAATTTATCTTTATTTTCGTGTTCAAACTCCATTCACTTAAGAGGATCAGACTGTATTGTTCCATATCGAAGCTACGTCCTAATTTCCGTACGTTTTTAACAACAAAATAGCTTCCTTATTAAAATTTTATAACGGCTG